GCTCCTGTAATCTCTGCAGAGCAGCTCTGTGGGTAGCTCCTGCTTCACATATGGAAAGACTCTTCCTGCCTCATGTAGTCAGAACAAGTGCTTCTCCAACTTCAGAGTGCACGAGGGCTGGGGGTGTGGCTCAGTGGCAGAATGCTTGCCTAGCATGCATGAGGACCTGAGTTTCATACCCAGCAGTGCAGAAAAAAAGAAAGGGAAAGAAAAGAAGAAGAAGAGTGTATTGGAATATCCCAGACGGTCTGCTCAAACACAGTTGGTGGGCCTCACCCCATAGGTTCCAATCTGACCCCAAGAGTTATTAGCATTCCCAGGGGCTAGAGAGACGTAGCTCAGTGGTACTACAGGTGCTTAGCACACACAGGTCCTGGCTTCCCCTCCCAGGATGTCCCCCACCCCAGAAAAAGAATTAGCATTTCTAACCTTTCCTCCGGGGATGATGCTGCTGCTGGGGAGCCACACTGGGAAGACTAACTTGCCTGGCACAGGTGAACACTCAGTGTCACAACCGGGCACTGGCCATCGTACGCACTTCCCAGGGTTTCCAAAGCCCAAGTGGCCACTGGATTTCAGAAGTCAAGCAACATTCATGAGCAAAATGCAGTTTGGGGTTTCAAGGTTGTCCCCAAGGCTTAGAGTGGACTGGTCCTCAGTGCTCAGCTGAGACACACAAAGAGGTTCAGAAACATTTTTGGAAAGAAAGCCCGTAGCTTTGGGAAGGTTTTAGTGTAAAGCAATGAGAAACATCTGAATCAAATTGCCTTTAAAATTACACCATTTTAAAACTTACGGGGGTGGGGATGGAGGGCTCTGGGCCAAAATGCGTTTTTAAAGATTTACGGCCTCCAAAGTGTCAGCACAACAGCTGAAGAGGCTGGGAAAGAGCCACCCGGCGTCTGCCAGACGATGGGATGAACCAGACTGCAGCAGAGTGCTTTCTCAGCGCCCCGCCCCACCCCACCCTGCGCTGCAAAGGGGTTTCTGACGCTCAGGGAGGAAAGTGATGGACAACCCAAGCCCCAACCAGATCTAGCCTCATGGACTCCTACGGAAGTCAAGCAGCCGAGCTAGTGGAGCCAGGGAACTTTGATGATACGCCATGGCCCCACACCCCAAAGAACTCGGTGTCTGCAAAACAGCAGGCACTGCCAGCCCTGGGACAGATGAGGAAGGGTGACACATGGGAGGACTTTCCAAGGCTCATATTTACCCCAGCCTAGAGGAGCCAAATTATAACTCCAGACTCTTCCAAACAATCTGAAGTAATGATCTAAGAGCAAACACAGTCAGCTCTCCATACACAAGGGTTCAGGCTGCAGATTCAGCCAATGGAGGGACAAATATGCTGGGAGGGGTTTCATTCTGTACCGGACGTGTCTATGACAACTGTTTGAAAAGCATTGTCATCTTATGTAGTATTATAAATAACCCAGAGATGATTTAAATATGCAGGGTGATATGATAGATCATGTGCAAATAAATACCGTTTGCTTATTTTCAGAGGGGTCCCCATGTGAGAGGCAGGAGCCCCGAGCCCAGTTCGCTACTGAAGCATATGGGGCCTTAGGCATGTCCCATTCCCATCTGGGCCTCTGTCTCACCTACAAACAAAAGGTATTGAAGTTGAGGCTCTGCACACTTTGCCACGGGAACTCCGCCTCCCCACTGGGCACCTTCCCATTCTTTCCCATTATTAGCGGTACTCTGTCAGCTGCATCCTGAACATAAGCACGATCACCCACCTCAAGTTCTCATGGAGTCTTGATAAACAATTTCCTTTTCCTTTTCTTTTTGTTTGTTTTTGCAGTACTGGGAATTGAACTCAGGCTCTACCTCTTGAGCCAGGCCCCCAGTCCTTTTGTTTTTCATTTGTTTTTTGGATAGAGTCTTGTGCTAACTTTCCCCAGACTGGCCTCCTCCTACCTCCACCTCCCAAGTAGCTGAGATTACAAGTGTACACCACTATGCCCAGCTTGCGATAAATATTTTCATCCGATTCTGAGTGTCCCATTCCAACACGGCACAATTTGATTAATAATTCCCAATCAATGAATAGTTCCAATTTTTCACAGATAGAAGTAATGTGGAAATAAATCTTTCGCCCCAAAGGTGTGCCTCCTGTCAGAGCCAACTGAGAACATATAGGAACTAGTGACGTGGGGTCAGGGGAGTTTGGACAGCCTGGAATACAAGGCATCACCTGCATCAGGACATCTTACAGTCATTGGCAGTTGTAGGATTCAGCCCTTGTCATGACTGTCCTTTCCTTATCTCAGTGTCCCTGCCACCCCCAGGCAGGACCCACCCTCCCCATCTCTCCAGGAAACACTAGGCTTATGCAAACTGTCCCTTCCAACCAGGCTGTTGTCTGTCATGGGGCAGACCATGGGAACAGTGTCAAGGTTTTGATGGATTCAAATGGACTCCAAAGGAGCCAGATGTGTGATGGTCACCTGTTCAGCTTTCAGGGATCAGCTCAGTCCCATTCCTGTCCCAACTGTCCCAGACCAGCTCCCCACACCTGTCCCGCAGCCCAGCATGAACACATAGCATGGTCCCTCTGCCAGACCTTTGTGTGGCCCCTCCTCACTTCTGTCCAGTCACAGCCCTGTGCCTGCGGGCTAAGTGCCTGACTCCTCGGGATTGGAGCAAATGCTGCTGATTGAACATGCTGCCCTCCTTGGCCCTGCTCCCCACCACTCCCACACTTCCTCCCCCTCACTGCTCTGGTTTGCAAGAAACCCTCAGTGCCCACCTGGCAGGCACAGCCAGCACTGAACCGCCAACAGGCCCACAGTGTCCCCACCCCTGAGGGAAGCCAGGCCAGCCACCTGCTTCCATATACTCACCTCACTGACAGGGCATGCTCCTGCTGCAAGCAGACCCCAGTCAGCAGCTCTGGAATTTCTTGGGACTCCAGTATCAAGCAGTGGGGGTCTTGCTCACAGCACTTCTGCTTCCATTCAGGAAGGTTTACAGAAGACTGAGGCCTGAGATCTTAAGGACTATGGATAACATCTGTCGAATTCGCTCACAACTCAGATCAGGAAAGCCAGGCCCTGGCAGCGCCATATGGGCTGCATCATTGGATTCCTGACCCAAACCTAAGTGTAGCCACCAGGGCCCACCCACACTGGAGACCCTGCCTGCTTTGCCCAATGCAAAAACAACTGATCTTCCCCAGATCGCAGAGGGCCCCTCTTAGATAAGCTGTTCAGGGAAATGAGCATTGGGGGAGACGGGCACTCTGGGGTCCCTGTGGCTCCCCAGCCATGCACGCACCTAGCCTGAGCAGCTGCGAAGCCAGCAAACCACCTGCAAACATGGATCGAATTCACCCTGTGTTGACCCTCATCAGCCAAGTTCCCCAGAGTCAGGTACAAGAGGACAGAGTGTCTGTGGGGTGGGCAGAGTTGGGCGTGGCTGCTTCCCCGGAGCTGCTCTGCTCCATGCTTTGGGACCCCTGTGGAAAATCCCTCAAGCACTTGTGGTTAATATCCCAACAGTGACAACCAGATCTGGTGTTACAGGGCTTTCCCCCCAATTACATCCTAATTACTATCTAACTACTGCCTAAGTCTGTTCCCTGCTGCAGCAACCAACCAACCAACTGGCCAGTGAGTCACACTTTGGAAAAGGAGGCCAGGCCCACGAGGATCCGTCAGGGCAGGCCACCACTGAGACCAGACTCCCAGGGGCTTCTGGCCTGAGAGAATCAGGCACAAGGACAACTTGAGGTACGATCACAGGCCAGGGAAGAAGAGCTATGTGGCCAGGACTCCTCCTTCCCTGTGTATGGGGGCCACCTGGGCTTCAGTAACTCCCACACCATCTAAGAGCTCTGCCTCCATCCCCAGCCCCTGGTGGCCCCTTCCCATAGGCTGAGGCACTGGAGAGCCCCTGCCAAGGTCAGGAGGCCAAATGTTGACCGCAGATCTCCCTCTCTTAGGCTTGGGCCAACAAACCAATAATGACTTCCAACTTGTCAGAGGGAAATGAAAACAAATGTACGAACAACCACCTGGAGGTGCTCAGATCCACTCCTAGAAGCGTGATTCCTACACCCTGAGCTGAGGGTCTTCGGCCCGAGTTACGCAGCCCGTGACTCAAGGACCAGCAACACACCATCAGCATAGCGTCAGCTCAGCACTGGAGGGAAACACGCAAACTGAGCCGCAGGGTCAGGGTCTACACTCTAACAAGACCCCACGATTGTGCACACAACAAAGTGTGAGCGACAGCATATTCCTTCCTTCCCTCGCTCTCGCCGAGCTCTGCTTGCGCAGTAAGAGCAGCAGGGCATGACTAAATGCACTTGAATAAGACGGGAATGAAAAGAAATCCCAGTCTCTCCATTCCTCAGGGACAGAAATAGCTCCATGGCCTCCAGATGGACGGCACAGTCACAAGGGGAGGTCTTGCCTTCCCGCCAAACTCTCCCACCGGGAAGCTGGCACGACCAGTGGAAACCAGAGAGCATTTCTCTTTGGGGCAGTGAAATGAGAGGCTGCGGCTCATGTAGGGCCCCTTCTGTTATAATTTAGTTGGCCAGAAATTCACCTAAGACACTAAATTCCATACCTGACCCTCTAATTACAGCCAGAAGGCATCAGGGGACAATTACTCTCCGAAATAGTCTTCAGTGGGCAAGAGGCAAGAAATTCTCTGGACACATCTCACATGTGCCAGCTGAACACACCCAGGCAGCCGCACAGCCTGCCTCTTCTCCTCCCTTCCCCCAGCACATGCTCAGTCGCACCCACCCGGGATCTGGGATGGCCCAGTCCCCAAGGTTTGGGGTGTCCAGACCTCCAAGAAAACCTGCAGGTGATGGTCACAACGCCTGGGATTCCAGAGAGCGGGGCGCCCTCCTTGCCACCCTCCATAAAGCCCGCGTGCCTCCCTAATGACAGGGGCCAGCACTCTCATTAAATCCTAACGGGTTAATGAAAAACACCCCTGCCTGCTTGCCAAGTGTGCAAAACACAAAGTACCTCCTTGGGCAGCGACAGCAGCTGCTGCAGCCACAGCAAGAGGACAGGCCTTTTTACTCGGATCGGGGAATCCGCTGCCCTCCAGGGTCCCACTCTTGGCTTCTTTCTTCTCCACAGCAGTGGCTGGGGCAGACATCTCCATCTCAGTCGCTCATAGTCCTGGGGGGCAACCCTGGTGGAGACAACAAAGACATTCACCAACTCTGCACCCAAACAGCCAGGAAGCCCCAACCCAGATTCGCACCACCACTCGCCTCTACAGCAACCAACTTCATTCTCACTCTCTAAAGATTGTGAGGGAGGGTTTAATTAATTTTGAGAATTATCCACTGTGAGATTTATCTGGTCTACTAACTATCACATGGACAACAGCCGAGCATTTTCATTGTCTTTTATCCAGATTTTTTAAAAATCCAAGCAACAAGTTCTAATTGATGGGAGTGTCAGGCAGCAGAAAGAACCATCATGAAAAAGGAAATCAGAACAAATCGAAGGGAAAATGAAAACAAAGTAATTACAACAACCCAGAGGTCCTCCAAGACAGGTGCTAGCTTCCCTGTGGCCTCCCTGTTAACCAGAATCCAGCCTTCATTTATTCATTTGGATGTTCATTCATTCATTCACCATTCATTCCACAAAATTTCATCATTTACTGATTCACCTGCACTCAGTTGACGTATTTTTAAGCCCTTTTGTGCATCAGGCATTACTTGGGAGATAGATAGGAGGGAAGTAAAGGCCTATTTGATTTCAGTGCATGGATGGGAGACAGAGTAGCCAGGTGGGAAGAGTGGGGCCCTAGCTCTGAGTTGGGGACCAGTGGGGGGACCATGGAAGGTGTGAGAGAGCCCACAGTCAGGTGTAAGTGGTGTGGGCATTGGAGGATTTTGAGCAGAGGAGGAATGAGACGTGACCACAGTGGAAAGGATTACTCTACCATGCATAAGAAGCAGGGCATAAGAAGTGGTCTTGGGCAGGGTGGTGGCTGTGGAGGTCGTGAAAGGTGGACATGTTTTGAAGGTGGCTCCAAAAGACCTCGCTGTAGGTTGATGTTGGGTGGGGCGGGAAGAAGAACAATCCCGCCAAGTGGGATACAAGGCACAGGTCTCCAGCTGACCACTGGTCCCATGCATGCTGGATGCTTCACTGCTTGCAGACACTGCTACTACAGTATTTGTATCAAATATTACAGAATAGAATTCAAAAGACAAGTGTTTTTAGAAGCTGATGTCCAAGGTGACTTGTTTTTCATTGAGCACCAGGATGAATGAATGGTGGAGCCATTTATCATGATGGAGCACAGCAAGGAGGAACAGATTCCAGGGCAGAAATCAGGAGATCACTTTGGCTAGATTTAAAATGTTTTATTTTTTAAATCCACACAATAGTCCCACATCTTTCAAGTAGAAATGCAGAAATACAAGAACAGGGTGAGATTAAGAAGGACAGACAACAGCCCCAGCTGCTTCTGGCTTTTGCACCAGCCTGTCCCTTTTCCATAATCTTTCAAAGCTTCCTGCCCAGAAACACCATGAAACTGAGGCAGAAGGGGCAGAGAGAGAATCTCCTTGACAGTTTAAATGAGTTATGGGATTTCACTGTCTGCTTTTTTTTTTTTTTTTTTTTTTTTTGTGGCACTGAGGTTTGAACTCAGGGCCTGGCTTGCTAGGCAGGCACTCTTACCACCTGAGCCACTCCACCAGCCTGCACTGTCTGTTATTTTAAGCCATTTTTAAACTGTGTTCCCCAGACTGGCCACTAGCAATGCAGCCTAGCCCAGCCCACTTCCCTTAGCCTGGCCACGGGCACCACCCCACACAGCCACCTGAGCTGCTCCCTTGGGTCATTCTCTCTCTCTCTCTCTCTCCTCCCCCATGAGGTCACATCTAAGTGGGCTGTAATCACTCTGCTCCAGAATGCCTCACCAGCAGTGCCTCTCCCAGGTGACTGCTCTATGCCAGGCACCTTTCGTGTCCCTTGTCCCTTCCCCTACCCAGGTCATCCTCAACTCTGCAGCCAGGCAATTGCCTCAAAACCAAGACTCACCACATCCTCCCCTGGCCACAGCCCTGTTGAGCCCTCCTGGCTATGTACACCTGCAAGCCAGGTGTGGCTGACTTTTCCCCTATACAAGAGCCATGCTACCCAAAGGAAACCCATCAGCCTTTCTTTTTGGGGGTGTAGGGGGCAGTACTAGAGTTTGAACTCAAGGCCTCACATTTGCTAGGTGGATGCTGTACCACACCCCAGCCTTTCTGCATTTGACAAACTCCTATACTCTGCCTCTCTGATGCCACCTCCTCCAGGGAGCCCCCTCCCCTGCCTGTCCATGGCCCATGAGCTCCTCAGCAGTCAGATTGTCCTTGCCCAACACCCTGTATTATCCTCATCTTTACCTCCAGGTAAGCAACTGATAACTGGGGTGTAGCTGCTCAAGGGTGCCTGTCAAAGAACAAGAGGAGTGAAACTTTTCAGCTGAGAAATCACAGTGCTTTAAACACAAGTAATTTTGTGGACAGCCTGGGTTTTCCTCCAACAGGGTCAGGTGAGGGAAAGTGCACAACTTTGAAACAGACCTTGGATTTAGAAATAGGACCAAAATCAAAATGATAGCTGAAACAGCACACCTCTAGCAAAGCATTTACTGATACCAAGCATTTTATAGGGTGAGCTCATTTAATCCTCAAAACATTTTATATAGGAGGAAACCAACGCTCTGAGAGGTTGAGTAACACTCCCAAAGACACATTCCTTAGATGTGGCTGTGCTACACCTTGAACCCACACTTTCTGGTCCCACAGCTAGACTCCAGTGCTCCACAGTGTGCTGTCCCTTGAGAAAGGACCCCAAAGTGCAAAGGGATTTTTCCCAGAACTCCTTGGCAGGCACTCAGGTAACTGACAGTTGAGCCCTGCAGCGATTGGAAGTGCTGTGCCAGGAACCCAGGGGGCTCCAGAGCAGGACTAGGCATGATCTCTGTCCCCATGCCACATCAAGGTGGAAAGACTGGTAGATGGGAAGCCCTCGCCAACAGCTGGACAAATGCCAAAGCTCTGTCTGGGCTGCACTGTGGTCATAGGCAGCCCTGTCTATGAGCTGATGGGATGGGAAGAGTTTGTGGCAATGCATCTGTTCATTAGTTCACTAACTCTTCACTTTGATTCTTTTTTGTGTATGTATGGTGGTATTGGGATTAGAACTCATGACCTCACACTTGCTAGGCAGGCATGCCCCAGCCCTTTTTGCTTTAGTTATTTTTCAGATAAGTCTTCACATTTATGCCCAGGTCAGCCTGGACTGTATTCCTCCTATTTATGCTTCCCACTTAGCTACAATGACAGGTGTGCACCTGTCTATGGGTAGAGATGAGGGTCTCAAACACTTATTGCTTGGACTGGCCTTGTACCATGATTCTCCCAGTCTCCCCCTCCCAAGGAGCCAGGATTACAGACATGACCACTGTACCTGGTCTACACTTTTTCGATTCTTCATTGGCAATTAGCTTCATGCCTCGTGCTGAGCTAGGTTGGGAGCAGGCTAGGCCAGCGGGAGCTCTTCCCATATACACATCCCCAATGAATTGCATGTCTTTGCCTGGGATTTGGACAGCCCCCCACTCCTGACACCTTACAGCCTGCTCACATCTGCCACATGCCCACCTGGCTCACTACTTAACTGTGACCTCCAGCAAGTCAAGGCTAGACCTTGTATACCTCAGTCCCTAGACCCACCTGAGCAGGTGTTTGGTTCCCTTGCCAAGGGGTGAAGACAAGCACAGAAAGCCAGGCCTCTGATTTGGGGTTTGGATCTCTGTGGACCAGAAACTACTAGAGGATTTGAGGCACCCCCAGGGACAGAGCATATGACCAAATCCCAGCCTTGGTCTAGGTAACCAAGGCCCAGCTCCAGAAAGAGGAGGCCAGCCTCCTGGGAGGCATCCTCTACAAACACAGGTGGGGGAACTGAGGCCCAACAACTCAGAACCCCCAGACTTTAGTGCTGGGACATCAGGAGGAGGGAACAGAGACTGTGAGGACTTCTGTTTAGGGACATAAGAAGATGGGCCAGAAGAGTTGGCACCATGAATGATTCTGTTAATAGCACGCTATGATCTGAATGTGTGTGCCTCCCAAACTCCTCTGCCAAAATCTGACCCTCATGGTGTTAGCACTAAGAAGTGGGGCCTTTGGAGGTGATTAAGTCACGAGTCATCTGCCCCATGAATGCCATTCATGCTTGTGCAAAAGAGGCCCAGTGGAGCCCTTTTGCTCCCTCTGCCTGGTAAGGATGCAGGTGGCAGCTCCACCTATGAGCAAAAGGCCTCAGGAGATAACAAGTCTGCTGGAATCTCAACCTTGGATTCCTAGCCTCTAGAACAGTGAGAAATAAACTTTCACGTGTTGCCTGGTCTCTGGGATTCTGTTTTAACAGCCCAAACCCACAAATATCCAGCAGCAGCTGCAGTCTCATATGGCATCCCACTGTGCTAAGTGGCAGAGTGGATGTCATCCCCGATCTTGGGGAAGAGGAAGCCAAAGCTGGAGGGCAGGTCTCCAGTCCAGTCCTTTTCGGGAAGGTCACTGAGGCCCTAAAGTACAGCCACGACAGGATTAGGGCACATGGCATGCACTAAGAAGGAAGGGATTCCTTCCTCCTGATCCCAGAGCTAGGGGAGGAGCTGTGCACCCAGAAGCACCTGATATCTAGATACCCCCTGGGGTTGAGGGCTGGAGGATGGAACTGATGTGGTGAAGTGTGCAGGCAGTGCTTCCCATACTCTGCCTACACCTTCCACAGCTCAGCTGCTGCCTTCCCCTTCCCACTCGTTCAGGAGAGGAAAGCAGGAGACAGAGCCAAGAGTCTGCACAAATCACAGGAATTAGCGGGATTAGCACAATTTCTGGGTAAACACCTGGCGCCTAGGGTCCCAGGCAGCCACTTTCACTCCCTGAAACTCCTAAGGCAGTCCAATCAACACTTCACCTGGGCCCCCAGAAGCCACCTGGGGACGGCAGGGAGAAGCTGTGCTGGGTTGCCAGACTTTAGCTGGGGGACTGCAGTCTGTCCACAAAAGCCCCAGCACAGAAGGGTCTGGGAGCCGCAGACTTGCCAAAGGAGGACAGCTAGCACCTTCAATGTAACTGCAAAGCACACAGCAAAGGCACTAGCCAG